AATGAATGAAATGAATGAATGAAATGAATGAATGAAATGAATGAATGCAATGAATGAATGAAATGAATGAATGAAATGAAATGAAATGACATGACATGACATGAAATGAATGAATGAATGAATGAGTGAACATCTCGCGGTGCGAGATAGATACACATCCGCTTGCGAACCCCTGGCGTTTGTCGTGTTTTTTGTTGAACCTGCCTGTGGCAGCAAAAGCAACCGAAGGTCATTGAGAGTTGCTGGAGGTTCATCTTCAGGCCAAGTTCTGGACCAGCAGCTGTGACTGGCCTTTTCTCAACCGAAGCCGAGGCACCTTCTGTTTGAGGTTCACATTCTGCCACACAGGCATGTCAGGTGTCGCGATGTGTGAATATGATCACTACTTCAGGTTTGGTGAACGTGCAGAAACTTCCAAATTTCGACCCTTCTACGACACCAAATAAACGATACATTCTGTCCAAACATGGCGATGTTCCAATCCAAAGAGACTGTCTTGCATGGACAAGGTTGAACGTAACTTTGTACCTGCATGCACACTCAAACAGTTTTGCAAGCCGCAGGTTTAGATGTGTCCATTTGTTGCTGCCAAACTCAAGAAGCTGCTCAAGAAGCTGCTGATCCTGAAGCCAAGCTACGGTGCTGAGAACGTAGGTCATATCTGGGTGGAAAATGGTTTCAGTCCCCTCTACTATATAAAGCCACCTCAAGAGCAAGTCAGCGCGAGAAGGAACTGACTTTACAATCAAGCTGCACTGGATCTCTTGAGATCTCTTGAGAGGACCTCAAAACTCAACATGGCGTTGAGTTTACACTTTGCAGCCAACTCCGGGGCTGTCAACACCAGACTCTGAACACGTCCAACATCTGACTGTCCGCGTTGCACTCAACACCTCCCCGACCTCCCAACCTCGGCAGAATCGGCGCTTTTTTCCGCGGATTCGGCGCAGAGCTGCCGACCTCGGGAGCTGCGGACCCGGCTTGCGATGGCCACGAAGGTGGGCTTCCGGATGGAGGTCCCAAAGAGGTGAGACCAGTGAAGATCTGATCTGGAGATTTGTTGATCCACCCCTGATGTGAGGAGATTAGATTTGTCTTTTTACTTTTTCGCGGCAGATCTGTGGAGATTTGTTGAAAAATCCTCTTCTAGCATCCTATCTGCTTGTTCTTTTCCGCTTCTTGTAGGTTCTTAGTCGTATGCGGAGAAAAAAAGAACCACACACCAAGGATCCGAAGCACATCATATTTATAGGGTCTGTGCTCAGCCAGTTCTTCTTTTCTAGTTTTTCATGCGAGTCGAGAAAGGCCAAGGTGTGTGAATCAACATCTGGAGAAAGCCTAGGCTAGCATCAACCACACTCCCTGGATCATCATGGAAGTGAAAAATGCCACGGGTTAGGTATTCGGAAAATGGTCGTCATAATGGTCATCCAAGGGTCCATGTTCGGCTTCCATGATATTTCCAGAGAGGGTATACCATCACATGAGAAGAACGTGTCCGCTTTGTCATAAAGTAGGATCAACCCAATGTTGATTGAACATTATTTAAAAAAAAAAACAACAAATTGACATCTATCAATATCTCATATGTTGATCCTACCTATGTATTTGTGTTTGTCATTGGCTGGGGCTTTAGATCCCAAACGCAAACTCAGCCAAGCAGCAAGAGCTGTCATCGCCATGACATTGGGCCACAAGAGGAACCCATTGGCTCTCTAACAGGCCAGGGCCAGGCACAGAACTTGGATTGGACTGAGCCGCACGGAATTCTTGTGGTCATGTTTTCTTCGAGCATTGCCTAGAAAAGCGCGCAACACCCACCGACTTCTTCATGGAAAGCTCTTTCTTCCGGTGAAACAGCCTTCGATATCAAGGAAGCCGCGATTATCGTCGCATAGGGGAAAAAGGAGTGTTCTGTCTTTCGTCAAAGCGGGTAAACATGGGGCAATTCACGGGGCAAATCAGAAAAGGTGTGGCTCCGTTCATTTTATGAATCTATGGAACATGTCCTTTGTTGGTTCACAAAGCTTCAGGCCTTCCTTTCAGACCTCGTTCACAAAACGTTTTCATAGAATCAATCAGGACCATGCAAGTATATATAATTACACACAATCATATTACATATATAATATATATATATAGTATTTGTTTTCAACACTACCAGCCGAATGTATTCTTGAGACTGCAAAAAATCTATCCTCCAAAGGTGGGGCTTTGCGACATGGTGGGACTAAGACTGTGATGGTCGGTGGGAGATGGTGGGATGTCAGACTCCTCCAAGTCTGTCTACCAAGCCCCTACGTCTGTCGCCCAGGGCGACTGTCCATCTCTTTGAGATGACAAAGACCCCAGGGTGACACAGCTGCGCAGGCGCCGCAGGCGCCGCAGAAGTGCAATGCTTTTCGGGTTGAGGAAAGTAGATGATTGAAACAACATGCCATAAAGCCCTGCTTCAGGCAGCTTCTAGTTCATCCCTGTTCATTGGGAGTTCAAGCACACTCCATGTACGCTTTGCTTTGGGAGTTCAAAAGTTCGATGCTGAAAGTACTTCCATCGGCGGCCAAAGTAAATATAAAGATATATATATATATAGCTACATATATGTATATATATATCCTGAATGATGGTCGTGATGAGAAACTCAGGATGTGATGAAGAGTTGTTCCCTGCACACAGGAGCAAGATCGGGGAGATGGGCTTGGAGATGCCGGTGCACGCCAGTGCACTGCAAAGCTACTTGGGAGGTTCAGCATATTTCTGTGTTTCAACGCAAAGGCCATGAGTCTTGAGGCTTCAGAGCCCTGCATTTCACTGAACACGTGAGGAAGCAAGTTGAGACAAGTCATGAGCCATCAGGAACAGCTGCAAGCGACTTCCGCGAGAATGGCTGCCTTTGAGCCTCTCTCCAGAACTTCAGTCTGACTATCCCACCGGAACCTTCAGGATTCAGTTCGAACCAGCGGAAGTCCACACTATCCAGCAACAAGTTGGGCCGGGGCAATCCCCTACTCGTGCACTTTTCAACCTTTTCGTTGGTCGGATGCCTGACTAGAGCTCCGGACGTCTCTATTCCTCCTCAGTCTTCCCACTTTGAAGCCTTGAAGCAAACTCCTGCCACGCGTTCGGAACTCCATTGCATCGGAACTCCCCGGTTGATGGGACGAGTCTATGCTCCTCACCGTGGAGATGGGGCGACGCGCAGGACAATTGGGAGCTGAAGGGATCCATTTCCTGGTAAATCCAGCTGAGCATGTCCAAAATTGGAGGGGCCAAGCAGTTTCTTGACGGAATTTCGGTGAAGGAAGCGGTGGAGGGCGGACCTCCTGCTTGGAAAAAACTCATTGTAAAAAGGAACAAAACAAACACACGTTAAAGTTTAAAAAAGAAAAAATAGAAAGTATTCTTTTCCCGAAGACATCAAGCGCCATCGGTGATCGGTCTGGACATGAATCGGCTTGAAACATTGACGTATGAGATTCGGCTGTCCGACAACACAAACAAAGGATTCGTCCTGGTCGGAAGCTGAACATGCGATCGGGAGCTTCTTGGGACTTCCAAGGATGTCTTAACACCATATAACATCTAATGTAGACTCTTGGGAGGGTTTATTATTTAATCAAGAGTCTACATGATAAAGTGTATAGAGCTCTGAAGACCTTCGCATCCAGCATGTCAGTTGGAGTCCAGGCATGGCGTCGACGTGGGTCTGGGGACGTCCAGTGGTCGGTGGGTTGGAAGCCTTCACCACACGGACCGACGAAGTGATGCGAATCGAAGCCTCTTCTCCGCACCGTGGTAAGCGGTCACTTCGGCTCAAGATCCATACGTGTCATAGCGTGTCCCTATTCTGACCAACTCAGCATGAACAGAAATGGACCCAAACCAAACCTCCTATCAAAACCGCCCCAAACCTGCTGTGTGGATCATGGATGACCACGTCCAAAAGGGACCGCCCTAAACCCCAAAGCGCCGAGTCTCCCGTCTCCGGCGATCGTTTCCGTGAGCACGAGGAGAGGAGGAGACCGATTGGTCTGGGCACTCGCGCGTGTAGGGTGGCGCCAGCCCCTTGCAGCTTCTCGAGCTGGCCTTCCAGAGCTTCCTGAGGCGAACGAGGAAGTGAAGAAAAGAAGACCACCCAGGGCCCTGGAACGAACTAGATACATCTATATGCCTTATATACATCCTTCTACTTCACATCGCAAGAAACCGGACATGAAGCTCATCCCGAAAGTCTCCACACAGCCCCCATCTCGAGAGTAGCATATGCAACCCTGAGTGCTCAAAAGCCGCGGCATGTTGAACATGAACCGTTTGGATGTGTGTGTTCATCTAGTCTTCTAAAAGGCACAAATCCAAAGAAATAACAATAATCTGGAGATATAATATATATGTATATGTATATGTATACGTGGATGCATCTGCACATTGAACGTATTAGATTGGGTGGAACCATCGCGCATGTGCCACCCAACTTGGGTTGCTGATGAGACAGTTGATATCATGTTCAAGCCGCCCTTGCAGTTGTTTTTGTCAGCACACCGACTTGAATACAAGCATGTTATGCAACTCGCTGTGTTTTGGCAACCAGTAGCTCACAAAAGACTGCATCATCCTTCCCATCAGCAATTTGACTGCCTCTGACTTGCTATTGAAACCTTGGGCAACTACCACCCATCCACCAAAGGACTAGGCATCAACTGCCACTCAACAGCATGAAGTTTCATCAACTAAAGCTGCAGTTGCAACCTAATTGCAAATTTTGCAGCATTCTCGATGTCAGGACAATTAGCAAAGGAGTGTATATAAGCCAAAGCAAGTATGATGTCTTGCTATTCTAAATGTTCCTTCTTCAGAAACCAAACTGCACAGACCAAACCAAAAACATCCAACCCGCAAAAAGCATTTCAGCCCGCCTGGCCCAGTTGACAACGCGTCAGGTTACACCTCTTCAGCACGAAGCGCATGCAGTGCAGCGCATGGGAGGCGCAGAATTGGATTGGATCGAACCAGGAGCTACTAGTAGCGTCCTTGCTACTAGTAGCGATGCCCTTGTTACTAGTAGCTTCTTGCTCCTATGTGTACTGTGGACGTGTGAACACTTAAGGAACAGTTTGGGTGATAGATCGTGCTATTGGGGGAACTGGTGTCGGGAAAAAAAGGGATTCGAGACCATGGCAGAGTGGGATCTGGAAAGCGGCTTGTGTTGCAACCTGCTGAGCCAAGAAAACAAACCTGCCTCTGAGCTGCCCAAATGCTGGCTTGCAGCTTCAACCTCAGCTTAATCAGCCAGTGCCAGCCATGACATCGCATCATCCCAATCATCCTCAGACCTTGCGAACTACTGCTTGGGCTGCGGTTTTCCATTTTACAAAGAAGAAAGGCGAAAGGAACACAATTTTATAGTGGCATACTCTAGGGGTCTCTAATCTAAATGCGCTCCAGTCTTGCTCACGCCTCCGTCGTATCGCTCGCGAGACGGAATCGTCTGGGAGACCCAGACCGGCTCAAAACGATCATCTTCCTAGGTGACGATCAAGGGCGGTTAAAAGAAGTCAAGGGGGAAGCTGGTGTGGTTGCTACGAGAGCAGGGTGGACCATGGAAGCAGGGTTGACCCTGGAGACTCCGGACCTGGAAGCTTGGTGGAAACCAGTGAGCAATGGGAATGAGCATGGATTGAGTGAATCAAAGCTGCAAAATCCTTGAAAGAAGCAGCACTGTTTCCATGCCTCTCTCCTTCCATCTGTCTCAGTCTCGTACTGTCTGGTGTCTTGCAAGAAAACAAACACCTCTTTAGATCTCTTTAGACTTTTGCGACATCCTTGAACCTTGGGATTTCACGTGTTTTCGCTGGCTGCGCAGGGCTTCGCTGGCTACTTCGCTGGCCATGTGGTCAAGACCGTTTGGGGGTTAAGCGACCTTCGGCTGCACAGCGACACTTCCGACAGCCCTTGGCCACTAGGAGAACAAAGAACATCAAAGAACCATTGGTTCGGTGAGAATGGAGGAAACCACGGAGGTGTGCCAAAGTCATACCTTTTCGATCGCATCTTTGTAGAGCAAACCGGACTCTGAAGCTTCGGAAGAACCAGCTGACCAACACCTGAACCAGCTGACCAGCGCACCAGCTTGTTCCTCTGTACCGATTCTTCAGCGGTGGGTGTGTGTGTGTGTGTCTCAACGGCGTGCGAACGGCGTTCCACGGACGGATGCAAGGATGCCACTCGCCGTTCGCTTGCCAGGCATCGTGTCGTGAATGATTCCCACCTCACCCACCTGAGGAAGCGTTCACCAAGACCACGCTCGCATGTCTATCGACACCATATATTCATGCATCGCAAAGTGCAAATGGAACAGAATGGAGGTTATGATGGGCAACACGACTAATTTTATGTCGGGCACGCCAGCCATAGATACAAGGAGCCAAAATAGTTTTATAAAGCAAAAACAAAGCAAAAAAAAGCAAAAGGCAAAGCAAACAAAAAACAAAAAAATGTAGCTGTGCGTATTTGTCGCTTTTTTTTTTCACTTTTTTTTCGCTTTATTTTCGCATTTTTTTCGCTTTATTTTCGCTTTTTTTTCGCTTTTTTTCGCTTTTTTCCTAGGAGGGTACAGCAAAAACATATTTGTCGCTTTTTGTTCACTTTTTTTTCGCTTTATTTTCGCTTTTTTTTCGCTTTATTTTCGCTTTTTTTTCGTTTTTTTTCGCTTTTTGTTTTGCTTTGTTTTTGCTTTTTGCTTTGTTTTTGCTTTGTTTTTGCATTTTCATTTGCTTTTATTTTGCTTTTTTTTCACTTTTTTTTCACAAAAAAATTATTTGATGGTTGGCCATGTATGGCTGCCATCGCCCAACATAAGACTAATTGACGATTTTTTCCTTTGACAGCGAGCTTCTCTGAGAGCCTGCTCTTCCAACTCAAATCTACCAGTAGCTCTGTTTTGCTGGTGTTTTCTACAGATATTGCAGCACTGCATTCATCTGCATTCTACAGCACAGCCCAATTGCAACACCTTTTGGATTCCGTCAGACCAGCCAAATGACATGTCCGAAACCCAGCACTGAAGAGTCGATGGGTTCTGTCACCTGCTCTCTTCTGCTCTCTTCCTCGCAAGAAGACTTCAGTTGTACTAAACCAAGAACATCTAAAAACCAATGGATCTAACATGATCTAACTGTTATAGCAAGTGGTCATGGTAGGATTCCCTCGCCACCCCAACTCTGCTAACTCGCTCGACCTTCCGTCGCTTGTTGGCCAACTCTTGCATCGCCTGGAAGGCGTTTCTCACGGATTCGAAAGAAGGCACCAGCTTCAGTGATGAATCCCCCAAGAATTCATCCAGCCCTTCGCTGTACTCAGGCCTTGAGTCATCTTGAATCGTCTTGAGTCGGTAAGACAAAAGGTCTTGAGCTGGCCAGGTGAGTTTGTCACTGAAAGTCACGGGTCACCGGTGCCAAAGGCTTTGGACCTACTGTGTGTCACACCGAACAAAATAAACGCATGTGACCGAAAGGCATTTTCGCCACAGGCTGTAGCCACCAGTGATCTTCGAATCGGTGTGGCAGCCAACATTTGGAGCTTTGGATGGTTTTTCCTTTGGTTTTCGCCTCGGATGGTGAGGCATCCCATTCTGAATGGTCAGTGCATGTCGGTGCCATTTGGAATGGTGTCCAGGTCTGGCGTCCACAGAACGAGGCAATGGCCGTGACAGCCAAACGCGGCAAAAAGCGCGGGCAAAACGAACATCCGCCTTGACCGTGTTGTCTGTAAAGACCTGGAAGTGGCGCGGTCGAAAATGACGAGATTCTGCTGAGTTTGGAACATGTCTTCATGCAAAGATCGACTGATTTGTCATTACATCAGACATTATGTCTGACAGTATTTTTTCTGTCTTACAGCATCATGGTCTTTGTATCTACTCCGATGATGTGAATCTGCTCCGCAAGCAGAATGTGGAGACGTTGCAACCCTGCAGAAGTCTCATCCAAACAAACATGTAACGGCGCACATGCAGGGGGGCGCGTGCACGTCTGGACTGCTCCCCCCCTTCCTGGATGCATGGAGGCCCAACGAACCAATGGCAGTAATTGGTTGCTGACTACTGAAACGATGTATGTACTATGCTTATATTAATAAAATATAATATTTATATATATCTCTCCCGTTTTCCTTCACACCGTTTCTGAAGCATCCCTAACTTCCTTGTTGGAAGTTGCAACTGGCCAC